GAGAGAGAGAGAGAGAGAGAGAGAGAGAGAGAGAGAGAGAGAGAGAGAGAGAGAGAGAGAAGAGAGATTGAAAAGCCGTCCAGTACGGCAAGACATCTGGAAGAGAGGTGTGCTTCGGCAAGTACGAATGGCAAAGAGAATCTTGCACCCGAAAGCACGACGTGATGTGTATATTCACGCCACAACACCTATTGAGTAGGTCGTGATTTTGGGGAGAGCGACTACACGAGAGAAAACACAGGAACACAAAAAAAAAAGACCGGGAAAGGAAGACATCGTAAGCAAACGAGAGGTTGCCACGCATGGCCGCTGTCAACCGTGAGCGTGTAGCAACGCCCTCCCGAAAACCAATTTCTCCAGCCGACAGTACTCGAACCTGAGTGAAGACTTCGAACGCTCGAATCCCTTCATCAATCTCTTATGAGACGTATGCATGCCGACGGCATGGAATAGTCGCGTTATACTACCAAGCGCCAGGAAACAGAAACAAAACAAAAAAAATCGTGCAATAAAGAAATGTCGGTGCTTACTGTCGTCTTCAACGGTGGAGGCAACGCCGAATGCAACCAGGTACCCGATGACGATGCCCATGTTGATGGAGATATCTGCTCATCGCCCAAAAACCATCGCGACACAGGGCCGAAAAAGACACGAGGGGATCGCAGTAGCAAGGGACAGAGGAGACCAAAAACAGAGATACGGCTCAAGGAGTAGGGGCCGGAAAGTCATGAATGATCGAGAAAAATGTTTGCGCAGGGAAAATCAAAAAGTATCCAGAGATCAAGTGCAGCCTTGACCGAAGACAAACAACAGCAGCATGATCAACTTCGAGGGGAACTTCGCTGCGACAAGATGGTGCCCCGTCAAGAGGAACCGGGGTGGCATCAAGAAATAGTAGGGAGCATAAATGCACAAATGTACAAACGGTAGCCCAACAAAATTCGGTGCAAAACACACTTATGATCCCCACTCAACGGAAAGTAAAGGTCAAAACCCGCAAGGTTTCGCAACCGCAGAATGACGCCCCCCCACCCCAATCATCTCTCGCTTCTCCACCAACCAATCCGTTCACCTGTTAGAGACGTCAGCCGTCCTCGGATATGCGGCGGCGTGATCTCGGCGATGTAGACCGGCGCTACCACGAACCCGCAGCCCACTCCGATACCCGTGACGATGCGACCTAGCAGGAGGACCCTGCCAACCCAGAAGATAAGAGCAGGATTGTCGTAGATACACGGTGCAGCAAGAGTGTTGGGATCCGGGCTTGGGCAGGGGGAGGAGCCGGACGGCAGTAAGATATCGAAAAAGCACATTGGATTGTTCTAGACTGCAGGTTTCGAAGGCATGGGCTGCGTGGTAGGGGGGGGGGGG